GAGAGAGAGAGAGAGAGAGAGAGAGAGAGAGAGAGAGAGAGAGAGAGTGATAGAAACATGAAGTGCATGTTCAGTGAACCCTCGTAAAATCGATTAGCGGTCAAATGAAATGTATTAACGGCTGAAAAGATGCCAAGGCATTAGGTCGCCGTTGCGTGCATACATAGTTTAAAGCGAACAGCAACAAAAAATTTATAAAAATTTCGATTCGTTCACATTGAGAGTCAAGTGTTAAATGAATTACATGTGCACTGCATGTCGTATCCATATGGCACCGTATTCATATAAGTTGATATCAACTTCTTCTTCTTAATTCTCTTTTTTATTCAAACTCTCTGATCTACATTGTATATCTGTCTGTGTTGTTAATTTTATTGCCCATCCAAACTCGATCCAAAATATTTCATTTTGTTTATATGTTTTCCATCGCTTCTCTCACTCTCACTGCCCGTTATATTTCATTCATATTTTCGGTGCGGTAATGATTTGTTGTTTTAGTTGCATATCAAGCGACCATTCAATAAACGATGGAGCGAAAAAAAAAACACAAAGTTAAAATACACACACGTAATTCTAACGGTGCGTGAACGACACACATCGTATGCGTAGGCTATGAATGATCTGCGCCTTCGGTTTTTTAATGTTTACATTTTTCTGACAAAATGAGAGCGAAATATAGAGAAATTCTGAACGTAAAATCAAATTTAACTCAACACTGGCGAACGGAAAGTTTAGGAGTGGCGTTGTGTTGCTGCAAGTGTAGAATGCAACATAAAAAATCAGAGTGACAACAAAAACACGAAAACTACAACAAATGTTTCATATATGTCTCACCGTCACTCAAATTAAGTGGTTTTTTCATCATGAAAGGCGAAAGGTTTGTATGCTTTTTTTCTTCATCTTTTTTTTCCTCAAACTAATCCAATAAATTGTAATGATGAAAAGAGCATATATCGTGAGGACTCCAAAGGGCTATTTTTGGTAATTTATCGCTTTATTCAAAAGTGAATATCGTCTACAAAGCAGCAGAGAGTGTGCGATCGAAGAGTAATAAAGCTTGTAGACCGCCCATGAACTATATTGTTGCTTAAGTATTCAGTGCATTGTGATGTGTGCGCGCACGCGGGGTCGAACCTTTTGCACAATTTCACGGCAGTGCGTAGGTTAGCTGATTTGTTTTTTTATTGTCAAGTGAAAAAGAAATGACACGCAACAAACCACAAAAAAACATAAATATACTATTTTCACCGGTTCAAATGGGCATAGAATTCTCATATTTGATGCCATGTTTATACACGCATTTCAATATACGAATTTGAAAATCGTCATCGTCGTTGACGGCACGAATATTTCCAATTCGAAAAGAGATCGCGACATAGAAAAGAAAACATCGGCCTATTGATTTAAGCAGAATGGCATGCTCATCATTTTCTATTTTACGATAATCTGCCTTTTGATATTTTTTTTTTCTCTCGTAACTCTCATAACCAAAACAAAGACCGACGAAGAGAGTTTACGAAAGTTCATTCGTTGAATTGAATAAACGAAATGAAAAGAGTTTGGAAATGGGGCCGCCTTAGAAAACAGCACTTAAACGAAACTGACAAATAGCGAAAAGATGCTGTCGATACGGTTACTGATGCCGATGTTTCGTGCATGTTTTCAACAGCAAATAACTCGATTGAAATGTGTGTGTTGCACATTTTTTCTCTTCTTCAACAACATAATGTGTAATCGATGCTGTAATCAAGAGTCAAAAGAATGTCATGTCTCGCATCGTGTCCCGTAGACAGAGTACGTGTGTCGTTGTGCCCTAAACACGAGAAACACACTTTTTTGTTGATTTAAATTTAGCAGAAGAATCAGTTCATGTTACATTATACAAAGTTAATGGCATTTTAAATCAGATGTTTTCGGTTGTTTTTTTCTCTATCTCATTTTTGCTTCGTTTGTTTTTCCCAAGCTCTCCAGACTGAGTGTTGACAGATAAGACGACTACGAATAATTCTCTCAAGTTGGTGTTTTTCACTCTCAGTTCATACTTGAAGTGAGATGAAATAAAAAAAAAAACTATATATAATTGTTAAGCACAAGTCTCTTTTAATTATAGTACAGCATTGATAGTAATTATGATTCATTTATCAAGCGTGCTGTGAGATTTCAAATGGACGAACTTTTATGACATTGAATTTTTTTTTTTTTGAAGCAAACAAATAAATTGCATCTGTGAATATAGATGCAGCATGCACCTTTAATTAAACGTAAACATTTTCAAACAATTTGGTAAGGCAAGCAAAAAACACATGCAAATCGTATAAAATACAAGAAAATAAAATGGTAGTATGAAAGAATGAAACTGGTGTGTTTTTGTTTATTGTAAGAAGATCAAAGTATCAACGAATGAAAAAGCAAAAAACAACTTAAACGAACAGAAGAAAAACGAATTATTCATGACTAAATTTCGAAACCGAAAGTAAATGACAATCGCTAATCATCTGAACATATCTATATATATTATTTTTTTTCTGAACGATTTTGTCTCTTTCACTTGGACTTTCACAGATTATACTACTATGGTATGAGCTTCACACATTACTCATTTTTGGTTTTCTTTCACAAAACATACACATAACATAAAGATTTTACTTTGTCTACATAAAATATTGATTAATTTTATTTTAAATATGGTCAGTCGTGCAGTAGAGTTGAGAGTCAATATTCAGAAATTTGTTACACAGCCGAATTGATATAGGGCTTACCAAAAAAGTCCTCCCACCGTTCCGATTCGTCCGATTCACAATCCATTTTTGTATAGTCTGGTTGCGCGTTTTGTCGGCAGTTTTTTTTTGTGTTAATATCAATTTTTTGCGTTTATTTCGCGGAAAAATTGCATTTAATTTTACTTTCAGTTGAAATTAAACAGTTTGATCGTCCGCGAAAATCCAAAACCCCCAAAAAATCGAAGCGCATTTTTGGAATTCTCTTTCAGCCAAATCGAAGTTAATTAAACTCTCATTCATTGTTATGTATTCATCAATATATGTTTATATGAAAAATGGTTAACGCCAATTAATTGCTACCATGTATTCGCTGTGTGGCTTTTTTTCTCTCTCCCGTTTGGTTCTTCGCTGCGTTGTCTAAAGAAAACCACACAACAGAAAATTTGTATTGCTATGCTATAAAATGATCTTGATCATTCGTCATGTTTTATATCGACGGAAAAGCACAATCACATATATTAAATAAACTCTATAAATGTGCAAAAAATTCGCACACATACACACAGAGACACTCACCGAACAGTAAACTCAAAAATCACGCTCGACGAAAACAACGAGATAGGAATTCAAGTCTGAATGAAAACGAACGAAAATATGCACAACTTTCTCGAAAAAGATATTTTCATTTTTCCGAAATGGCAAACGAACAAAATAAGAAGAGAAAAAAAATCTACAGACGGTTAACGTAACGATCATAAATTACGGCCGGTAAAATATCGCTTGATGTGTGGTTGATTTTGTTCATTTACAAATTGGCCAATTTTCCATTTATCGGTCACTCTTCCATTTGGGAACAACGAACTCTGTTGTTTCTTTCTTTTAAATAATTTAAACCAAATATACACAAACAAGACACTCCACCAAACAGGACCAATAAGGCCCGTACAATTTAAACAACCGAATAAAATCGCACACACCAAAACACAAAATAATTCCGTTTGAGTTCGTCTTTTGTTTATTGTTACAGCAAAACTCTTTTCCTCTATAATTCGTGACAGTCACAATCTGTTTCCTTGCTTCTATTTATTTTTGGCAACAATTTCGCATGAAATTTACATAAATTATCGAACATGTGTGAATAAATATATATCGAAATGCTTCGGCTTTTCCGCTTCAGATAATTGGCTGTGCGCGCGCGCACGCCTCTGTTCGTTGGAACGATTTTTATTCGTTATGTCGGCTGCTATGCGGTTAACATTTCACCAATTCGATTCACCAATATAATATTGTTGCAATTCCGATATTTCCTTTAAAGTTTGCGTATGCTTAAGCTTGAGATTCGTTTCAGCGGCGACCGATGATGACGATGAAGTCGACGACTGTATATGGACTTGTGATACGGGTTGCACCCAAGAAACAAGCAAAAAACAATCACTCAGTTTTATTTACACACGAAATATAAAAACCAACAAACTATACATTCCATGGACGAGATTTGAATGGGATCCAAACCGCAAATGTGAATCGCGTGCGCCGACAACTTATCGAAAATATACGTACTGTGTGTTTTGGTGATTGTGTGTGTGTATGTATGTAGTATGCACGCAGACGAGCAGCGCAAGCGTTCGATATTGTGGCAAAACATAAAAAAAAAATCTCGAGAGAGACCGAGATATGTTTTTATGTTGCTTCAGGGGCAAGACAATCGAAACGATCTCCAGCTACACAGCGTACAAAGTGTTTATAGCATTATATGAGAGATAAAGTAGGAAAAAATTGTTCTCACAGCCTCTCATATATGCATCTATATAACGAAGACGACGACGTCAGAGGAGCATGAACCAAATAAAATTAGAAATAACGTCCGAAATGGGAAAAAAGTCAATAGAGTGAGCGCACAGAACAAAAATTCAATCTTTACTGAATGCAAACGAGAGCAAGATGGAATGAAAAAATGGGAAAAGGGAGAGAGATAGAAATTTAAAGAGCGAGGAACAAAAGTTTAGATGCACAGATACAAATATAAATGCAGCAGCAGCAGCAGCTCTGTATGTATGTTCGTTAGTTCTTTTATAGTTTTGTTACATTCAAATGCATGCACTGAACAAACAAACACATCAAACTAAAAATATGCACTTGCATAATTTGCCTGGCGGTTTAGTGCATTATGTCGAAGCACACAGCACCCATGCTCTGCATAATATGATGTGATTGATGCGGATGCAATTTCTATGGTTCAATCTCTCATACATTCAATAATAATCCACACTTAAACACTCTATTATTACACACATACATCCATACGAGCAACAAAACAAACGGTATAGGAGTCAACCCAACCATTTTGGACCGAATAAATGCCAGCCGTGCACATTCACGATGCACACAATTCGGAAACATTTAAAAAAAAATGCAATATCGAATTGAACGCGTACGCACACATGGTTGATTTTAAGACTTAGGTCCCTCTATCTTGTGTGGCTTCGTATCTTCGATGTGTATCTATAAATGACTGAATGGTGTGCGACGACACGATGGTGTGTGTGTTGCAACAAATATGCACGAAATTACATTTTGTATAGCCATTAAAACTGAACAATTACGATGATTTATAGGTACTTGGTGCGTTATGCACTCACACACATGGTATGATTTTTTTTTATTTAAGCTGCTCGTCTTATGCGCTATAGAAATTACAGCAGCAATTTGCAATCAACCAAAACGCAATGAAAGAGAAAAAAGAGAAATAATAAACGCGGGGTGAAGAATGCATTCAAACAGTCGAATGATAATGCGAGCGCAACGAAGCAAAGAGGCCTGAAATCGAACTTGATTCGCCCGAAATGCTGTGTTACTCAATAACAATAGAGAAAGAGAGACCGAGAGAGATAGAGAGAGTCAAGATGTGTGCGAGTGTGGAAGTGAGGTGAACGCGATAAATGAAATTGGTAACAATCTCACACGTTCTGCTAACGGGGCCTAAAGAGTGCAACCAAGAAAAGAAATATATTACATTAAAAATTGGCACACATTCCAAATAACGATGTCACGAATTGCTCTTTTCGACATGAAGAGCCGAATATCAATAAAAAGAAACACATACGAACTTATGAATCCAATAATAAACAAATCAATAAATAAATTGAAAGCGATATTCTCATTTTATACAATATATTGAAAATGTGAACAGAGTGTAATTGATTTGCAAATGGTGAAAATAATTGTGCAAATTAACGCTCCAAACATGCCTGATAAATATTTGCATGAATAATAAGTGACTTTCATTAAACGGAAAAATTAGAAAACAAATGAATGAATGAACGAACGTATTAATATTCGTATTCATTGAGCTCTTGCTGTTGCACAGCAACTGTTCCTCCCGGATGAATTGGCCAAATTGTTAATAAACATCGATCATGGAATTTCGTCGTCGACGACGATAATACACGTAAAAAAGAAAACATTATTATCACTTACATTTGTTGATTTCATATGCAAAGAGATATGGCCAACCAAAACAAGCGCAAAATTGAGGAAATACACCAACAACAACAACAACGATAAAAGATATTGAACAAACAACGAACAAACCGCAAACATGCACACACACGGCAATGAGAAAAAGTGAGTGTGAGAGAGAGAGGACGCCGATGAGCACAAAACACCAACCTTATGGATCTATATGAAATGAAATTGAAATATTGAAATGATAAACGAAATGGCCACAGCCACACACTCGGCACACAATTTTTAAATGTAATTTTATCGCTCTTACGCTCGCAATCAAAACCAAAACAAAAGAAACGAAGAAATGACACTAACAGACACACATCTCGTTTTGTGAGTGGTGTGTATTTCCCTCGTTTTATGGTTTCCAAACCAATTTTATTTCTATTCACTTAAGACTCTTTAATTTGAACGGTATTGTATGTCTCTTCTTCTTCTTCTTTCTCTTCATACATCTTTTTTTCTACTATCATTTAATGTATTGAGTTGTGTGTGTGTTTTTTTTTTATTTAAATGTCTACTTTTTAAAATATGCGATCAATATTTCATTTTCAATCTTTCACCATTACCTTTTCGGTGTGTTTGTTTTATTTGTATCTCTCTCGGCAAATGTCGAAGTTGATTACAACGATGGTGTGTTTTCTTTTCTTCTCTCTATCTATTTTTCTTTCTTTCTTTTTTATTGGTCGTTGTTTATTTTAGATTCCAGTGAAATCGAAGGCGAGAATTAAACACATGCCAACGATAAGATAAAAATGATTATGTGTATGGCAATAAATCGATCGAGTTCGAATATAGATGAGACACGCACGCATCAAAAATGCTTGAAAAATTACACAATTTATTGGCACAATGCAACCGGATACATTTAATCAATTCGAATATGCTACTGCTCGTCTCATTTCATCAATTTCAATTGCAGCCACACACACCGCACTCTATTATTATTGATCAGAACACCCCGTACTCCACACAACACAAAAATTTTAAAATAAAGAGGGACAACAAAAAGTGACACAAAAACACTATGACTTTTTAAAAAAAAGGTAAACAATAGAAAATTGCGCGAATCTCTTTTTCTTGTTATTTTACCTTCGTCTTACGAGCAAAAATGTATGTAAACACTTCTATTAAATTTCAATTAACAAAAACAACAACACCGACTTAATTATTATTCAATCGTCGATTGTTTCTAGTTTTCGTAACACAATTCTGTCAGCTGCATGCAATTTTTCTTCGTTGCTCTCAATATGTTTTTTTTTCGGCAACTTACTTTTTTTGCTTTGCTTTTCAGCAGGAAATTTACATGTTTTTTAATTGTTTCTCTTCAAATTAATTTGTTTGTCCGTCGCGCAGAAAAAACCACTGACAAATACACTGCAGCAAACACTTTTAATTTTCGTTTGTTTTCAAGTGAAAGAATTTTTATAGAAAATGCAGCAAATCTAATGTGAAACACAAAACTATTGTTTATATTTATATGAAAAAAACAAAACTGCATATGCTCTTTCCGTTGTGACCGTCTTATTCTTCGTTTGGTATTTATTTCTTCTTGCTTCGACTAAGAAAATCGAGAAAGACCAGCAAATTAAAAAAAAAACAAACAATCATAACAATAAGACGTTTTGAAATACACAGCTAACAACATAATACTGATCGCGAATCAGCCAGTTGACTGTACGAATTGCGCCATATTTCACATTACCACATCGATTCGTCTCTGTCGCGCTCATGGAATTTGTCATCCAATGACACTGGTTGCTACATTCACATTGAATGACTCTCGTCAATGAGAGTGTGCTTCACAATAGCGATGCGTGTGTATGTATGCGCGCTCCACTCACACTCAACACAATGTTCCACTCTTTAAAAATTCACTTATCGTCCATCGCATTCATGCACATCACATGCGATTGCCACACATCGATTTGACTCCGTCATACACACATACAAACCAAAAAACAGTTTCTACCCAATATATACATATATATGTTCAATGAATCGAAAACATGAACGATTTTGATGCGGTTGTATTTTGTATTGCTTGTGTGATGTACGTAAGTAACCATGGATTTTTCCCGCTTTGCAATTTTTGCAATCAGAATGACTAATCCAGTTCCAATTCGATACGACGTTTGCATTTAATCGTGTTTTATCATTCAGCTCACTCATTGAACATTCTCGTTCCGCAAAACGATCAAATGACACTCGCCTTTTTTTGATAAACATACTATTATATGTGCCAAATAATGATTTTGTTATTTTTTTTCGAATTCCAGTCAAATAAATGCGCGTCATTGATTTAATTTGAGCAGGTTTCTTTTGTAAATATTGTCATTCTTATAAGAATTCTGATTTTTGTACAGACTTGAATCATGCAAGAAAGCCTGCGACCCAGCTCCGATAAGTGAACCAAAAATCGGTTTGTTTATTCACGATTTCGAGTTTTGTCATCGCGATTTTCATCCAAATCGAAATATATATAAAAAGCAAATGTTTATTTCGTACTTTAAACGTATTTTTTTTTTTTAAATAATATTTTTTTTCAATCAATTTCATTTTTTATCTCGCCACGTTGATTTAAAGTAAATTAAATTTTGTGTTTCACCCATCGACTTTTTGCCAATAAAATGATCATATTTTGATATTGATTTTGGTGTTTTGAGTTTCCATGTATTTAAACGGTCATCTGGTGACTGCAAACGTTTATTATTATCATTATCCCACAATTCAATCAAAATAAGTGAGTTTTTCGCATTTTTGATGATCGATATTTTTCATCGATTAATGGCTTAAACGAATTCCAATAAGATTTTGTTCTATACTCAGCGGTTATCAACTTTTATCGTTATGTATGAATCACAATCTGTTCCAATATCACAAAACTCTCCATTTGCATCAGTTACTACAAAAGCAGATTTAAATGTTATATTCCAGTATCCTTCTCCAAGGTCCAATATATATATATATATATATATATATAAAAAAAGAACAAACAGACGTTGGAAAATGGATAAATTTAATCAAAAATAAAGCTTTCTACTTGCATGTACTTTTTTTTAACAAACCATTCGTTTTGGGTCCTCTTTTTGCATTTCAAGTTAGAATGCATGAAACAGCCAATACTGCGGCTGAAAAACAAAAAAAATCTGAAGCACGAACATAACTAATGTGTTCGTCTTTGTTCACACCTAAATTGAAATATGAATGAGTGTCACAAATAATTCTACTATAAACATAAAATTTTATTAATTTTTGTCGATTTTTTGCTGATAAAACTGAAACGCAATTTCCAACCGACTGAAATTCACAATCTTATCAAAAGTTCAAAGATCACGATAAACTTTAAGGATTCCGCTTTGTATCAAAATACACTTTTTTGGAACGTGAGAGTTTTTTTTACATAAAATCATGGCAAAAAAATAAACTTCTTTACAGTTGATGTTTCTTTATTTGGTAATAATATTGAAATTAAAAACACAGAATAAATTATTGTAATCTATGACATTATTGATGAATTTTCTTGAAAAAAATATGCGATTGAAAAATTGTTAAATTGTTATTGTCCTTAACGGTATTTTGCTTTTTTCATTGTTTTACACCTAGAAAAGAAAACGATTTTCTGTCGGCAAAACTGAAAACATTTCAAACAATTTAGAAATACAATGAACTTTTTTCAGCTATTTGTATAAAAGAAACGAAAGCATTTGTTCGAAAAAAAAAAAAAGACAAGTTGAAAATTTTGATCATCATTGACCAATGCTATCTTATTTAGATGATGACCATGATGCTTTGAAACTGATTTTATTCTGGTTATCACTTCCAAAATTAGTGCCAAACAATTGAGACGCTTGTAGCAATGAACTAACAGGTAAATTTGGCCATGATGACATCAAATCGTCATTGTTTGTTCCCAGATCCGAATCCCATATTTCAATATCAATTAGCGCACTTGTGGGTACTCTCAGAATTGCTGTTTCGCTAAATATTGGATCCGACTGAGACCAATGTGTTCGACTTCGCCACATTTCTACTTTGTTGACTATCACTTTTATATATGGATCACATTGTTGGAATAAATCACAAGGGAATCCATGAAAACCATTCGATCCGATACAGTTTTTCCGCTTAGAAAGAATATTCTCAATAGTCCCATTCCTGCATGTACCATTCCTGAAAAATGAGATTTTGATAATATTATGAATCAGTTCTTTTTATTTCAACGCTAGGGGAGAGAAACCAATGCTAGTTTTTCTAGTTTATAGCTAATTTACTAGTTTTTAGCTAATTCACTAGTTTATTGCTTGAATAATCTAATAATGCTAATATTCCTTTATGAAATTGCTAGTTTTCTAGTTTTTTTTTCTGTCAAATGACAATCAAATGATTGTACTGACACAATGAAGTATTTTGACGTTTTGTTGTTCAGACATATTTTTATGTGTTTTGAATAAATATACACTTATAATAGTGAAAATTAGTTTAATTATTCTTTTTTAACACAAAATCGTGCATAAAGTACCTGTTTCTTTCAATAGTCGACTTGTAAAATTGATTTGGTCACCAAATCATGGCAGAATATCAAAATGGCGGATCAAATAATTTTTGCTAATTTTTGCTAATTTTTCTAGTTTTTGCTAGTTTTTTTCTAATTTTCCTAGTTTTTACTTGAAATATAAAAAACTAGCTAATGGTTTCCGTCCCCTAGTTTCAACGTCAAATGTTTCATTTTAAAATGTTATGCCATACCATTGCCCTTGCCTACTCCAGCTCCAACTCCATCTCCATAGCCACCGGGACACTGACAATTACAATCACATGCGCAATTGTTTGCATAAGCCACAATAAGAATTGCAGCGCACAGAATTCGCAGTCCAAACATTTTTACAAAATTTAAACTTTTATTGCGGATCCGAATGGTTTTCATCGGGTTAAATGAACATACCGTGGTCAGTGGTATCGTTTTATATTCCCATCAAATTTGTTTACTCCAAATAAATGCCACTTAGATGATAGTTTAATGATTATATCAATTTTTTACATAAATATTAATGATAATCGGAAAAATTATATGTTTTTAGGAAATGGATATCACCTGAAAAGTATAGATGAGATTCAAAACAGTGTATGTTAATAATAGACCAACACTAGGCCTAACATGTGTCAAAAAAAACCATTCAAGTCTTTTCGATTTTATTTTGTCAATTAATAATATTATTGTGAAAACGCGACAAACGTCTCATGTAAATATTCGTGTGATACGTTTTTAAAAAGTAAATTAAATAATATTTTCAATTTGTTTAACTAACCATTTAACTGGCCAACGTACTGTCAGCTCAGCTGACCAGTTAGTTCAATATATTGTCTGGTTCTGATTCAATTTTAGCGATTGTGTTTATATTCGTCATTTGTTATGAGTCAAAAATCTTGAATCAAAATGTCAAATACAGAATCACCATCAGAAATATTCAAATTAACTATCGATCCATCGACGAAATCATTGAATACTACTTAAGTGACCGCGGTGAATATTTCGGACAAAAGCATTCTGCACCAACGATGTTGAGCATTATTTATACGATCATCCCGTTTGCCGCTCCTTGAACAATTGACCAATAATCAGATTTTCAGCTGGCAATGATTTCTTTTTTCGGCTTCGTCATAACGCATTTTTGGACAATAAAACATATATTTATTTGTAAGTCAATATCATGTACTTACAAAAGCTTCAAAAACATATTCGACTTTGATTCTCATCTTTCAATTATGAACAAATGCTATGATTCACAACTAAAAATACAATTAAATCAAAGGTGAACAATTGTTTTTATTTGAATCGGAAGTTGCACAATATTAAACATTTGCCAAGTCAATTTTAATCTAATCAACTGATTAACGTACAATATGGAATAATACTTTGTTCTAATATGAGTCACAGGATCAAATAAAACTTTGCACAAGCTGATATGAAGCTGATGGCGCCAAGCGTTCGCTTGTAGTATGCTTAAAACTAGAGAATTTTAAAATTCGTCATCATTTTGCAAGCAATCGAAAATTTCTTTATCAGTCGAATAGTCGAATGAAAAGAGTAAGCAATTTGATTTAGTTGAAAACATCAATCATCGCATGAATTTATATTTTATTTTTTGGATTTTCCCACAATCTTTCAATCCGATGCTTATATTTATTACGAAAAAAAAATGGATCAAAAGCAATAAAATAATGTGTGAGTCTAGTAATTTAAGTTGAAAACAAAATAAAACAAACTGGTGAGCAAAGCGATAAATGATATAGATATCACAGAGAGATCGATCTGACGCCACAGTTCTTTTACCGCAAATTCTCGTGCCGTTGTATCGTTTCGAATTGGCGTACAGTAAATAAAGCTCTGATTATTTGATTTATTGATATGTAATTAAGTGTGCAGATCATTTGGAGTAAATCATAGGTTTGGAGCTTGAATAAAGTGGGTTTGATTGTATGTCTGCGATATGACTGTTGTTTATTGCATTTTGCGTCATCATGGCATCGATATATTTACAGTGATGTAGTCTAAATACAGGCGATAAAAAGTAAACTGAAGCACAATGACTTAAAAAAAACCGATTTTATGCAAAGCTATATATTTCACCAAAATTTATGACTTTTGCTGATCAACATGTTCATTTTGTAATATAAAAAAGAAACGAATTCGTAAACCAAAATCAAATACCGCCATTAATTTCACTGATTTTTTCTCATTCGATTCAAATATGAGCGGCTTCGAAACAAAAATCACGCACATTAACACCCGATGGCGCAATTTTTGATTTCTACTTCATTAAAGTACAAAAAGAACTTTCTAATCAGATTTAAGACGAAGTTACTGGTTTTTCGAAATGATGAAATGCGATAACAAAGCGATTTTAGATAGTTCACAACATTGCAAATCGTTGTGTTTGAATTTGAAATTCGCTTCGAGCGTTCCATCTGCACCGCACGCTCGTCTTCGATTTCAAGGTAGTAATTTTGTCTTATTTATGTCAGAGCAAAAAATATCTTGATAATTTCGCGATGAACTCGTTTTCAAATTTAATATTGACCATTCAATGTTCTCATTCTTCGATTCGATACATTATTATTATGTGAGGGAAAAATCGTTTTTTTTCCCCTTTATTTCAAAGGCAAACAACATTTGATATTTATCAATTTTTCAGAATGATCTTAGTAATAATCATAAATTCAACAGAGTTGGTTGATAAACAAATAAAATAGGTTTTTCTCTATATTTACTAATATATTGTTTCAGGTAAAATGGATCGACCGAAAAGAGTTGACATTTCGTTGATCAATATAAATGTTACTTCTCGTCTTCATATAAACATTCGATTAGTTTACAAAAAGGGTACGAGTTTGAGATTTATCTAAACTGGGCTCAAAAATCGTCATTCAATTCTGGTAGAGACATTTTGTTTTGTTGGTTTGTATTGGTTGACAACTCTAAAATTTACGATTTCCTCAATCGAATTTAAGTACATTCACAGATGTGTCCATATTATGATAGAAAGATGTTTTTTTTTTGTACAAAATGTTTTAGTTCTTTTTATTTATTGGCAGTATTGGCTCTCTATCTAAATTCAAAATTTTAAACGTTAGCTAAGGATTATGGTGAGATACATATGTGTATGATTCATTGCTGTTGGCAATCTCCTAAATTCTAATTACATGAAAACAATACCATTTTATCGATATATTTCACATTGCGGCTGGAACTAAATAAATTCGCATTTATGAATAAAAAAAAGCGCACATCGGCACACACACAAGTGTGTGTGTGTCTTGAACAGCATTTCAATGGTTGGAACTAACATGAAATTAACGTAATTTTCTGAATTTGGATGTTCGATTGTCTCTCTTCGATAGATCGTTTGTGCACTTTATGTAATTGAAGCTGGTCCAGGCAAAAAAAAATTGAGCACAAATTTTATTACTAACATTTAACAAACTTAAAAAAAATAAAAACTGATTGAATGCCATTCATTAACTGAGTTTTGATGTTTGCCGCATTTAGTAGAATGGTCGACTGAATGGTCGTCGGTTCGGTGACGTTTTTAGCGATTGTTTAAATTTTTTCGGTCGAAGATGAGCATGTGGCCATGTGGCCAATACATAACTTTCGATTTCACATTCGTTTACACCGCGTAAGATGCGGAAATATCCATTTTCTCCCCACCATGATCCCCAAGAATTGGCAGCAATCTGAAATGATTTCAAAAAAAAGTTATTGATTTTTTTTTTGATTATCAATTCGTTGGCTGTAGTTTCTCACCCAGAATTTCGTAGTTTCATAGCCGGTTCGTTCTTCACCCCAACCAAGCAAACGCACCGAATGGAATCCACCTTTTTCGTCCCGACTGGCAGCTGAACGACGATAAATTCCACCGCGGTAAGCAAAGAAGTCACGGTACACACGCATTGTGGCTAGTTATGAAAGAAAACATTATCAAATGTTAGGAGAATTGAAGTTTCTTCGGTGCATTTGATTGAAATTCACCTTGGACGGGACCACTTTCTTGAATTTCAGTCATGATATCGCTTTCGTTATTCAATGAATATGCTGGTCCAACACGGTACAAATGATCACGTGGCACTTTCGTCGGCAATTGACAACCAGCTGATGATAAAGTGTCTGTTCGTTTCACTTTGCAATGGCTTGGTTTGCCAGCATATGGGAAACAATCTTCATCGACAAGACTGGGAAAAAAATAATGTCCAAATAAGTTCTTCCAATTTATTTAGTGAATGAAATTCCACATTGTTGTTTACCCAATTTTACGAATGTAATTCCATGCCCAATCTAAATGGCCGCCATTACAACCCGATTGTTTTCGTACGCAAGACAACAATTGTTGCGGTGACAATTCAACCGATTCTTTACCTTTTGTTTGAATACCAAATCGGTCTGATGCAACCGATGCCGTTGATATTGCCCATGATGCACCGCACCAACCCTGGTCTTGGATTGGCGATATGTAACTAGACCAACGTTCATCCTCAACTGCATTGAAATTACGTGGCAATGATTCAGGTTTGTTTGTTAATTTGGTCATTGCTTTGACTTTGTATGTTGGTTCTTTTGTGCCTAAACGCAATTCCAAGCCTTCGTCATACTTTCGGCCCCAGAATTCGGTATAATTTGTTGCAGTCCAGCCCAATGTTCGTGTTATTGAATTTACATTATTAATCAAACTGTCGTCGATTAAACATAGATTCTGTTCGCATACTGTGGTCATAATGCATCAGAAAAAATGAAAAATATTTTCATCAAATTTAGTCGATTCCATTTTTGTATGTATTTTCATTCAACTGCAATGTCATATTTACCTGTGTGCCCACTTTTTTGGCAAGAGCTATGCAATGTCGAAAGAGAGAAAGAGTGATAGAGAAAGAACGAAATGTAAGTTCAGACAAGGTGATAAAATTATCTTTGTCCATATCAATTGAAACACTCACCATAAATTACAATTGTCGCGAATTGGATTAGATGGTCCAAAATACTGTCCTTTATGCATGCATTCAACTTCTGTAATGTTTTGTGGTGGATAAATTCCCAAGCAAAATGACTCGTAATCGGGACAACAATCGCCATTTGGCCAGCGATTACTTTTATCATTGCTGAACGAACCACAAAATTCATCACAATAACAAAGTGTAGCTGGAAAATGACAATTCGTTTATTTAACGTCATTATTTCACACAACATCACCGCACCATTCACGATCAACAATCACATTTGCAAGTCATGCATTATTCTTATTTTCATTTGACTTACTTGAAATTGGAACAGCACATGAATCGGTACGATCTTTACAGCATCCTCCTGGTCGTGTTTCACAAAATGGTATACCTTCGAATTCACCTAATTGACCATTTGCATTTAAAATAACACCCAATAGCAATACGCTGATACCCAATAAAATGTTTAACTTTCGAAACCAATCCATTGTCTATTCGGTTATTCTTATGTTTCGCTCCTTATCGAATCGAATCTGTGAATGAACAAATATATACACAATGATTTTTATTTATATAATCGAATGATGATCGACAAATTGATAGAATCAATTACTATTTTAGTTTAATCAATGATTCTGATCAAATATCACGCAAGGATAATTTGTTTTGAATAAATCGTGCAAATATGCCATAATTGTGATTTATAACAAAACAAAGTGTGAAAATCGTATCGAAAATCCCACGCAAAAATCACTCCAACACAACTACATCTACGTGAATAATTGGAAATTCGACATTGTTGTTCAAATAAAGATATGAAGAATATCCATTTTGCAGAAAAATTACAATTCGACGTTGAATTCGAAATTTATGAAATTTCGTTGAGTAACTAATTACGATGCAACATTGTAAATGAATTAACAAAATGTTTACATAAAAGTGTGCGTGACCGGAATAAATGACACAGTCTTAATTCGGTGTTTGTTTGTTAAATCGACTAATATTCAGTACGACCATTGAGCGAAGAGAGTTAATTCACCTTCAATATATTTTTTGAAACTGATCACAATCAGATAAAATATCTTTGGAGCACTGCCCGAGGTCTTCATTTTCGGTCAAACAGTTTTTCGTAAATCGGACGACTGCATGAAGTAGAATTGAATTGCTTGAAAGTGAGAAGTTCTTTGCACTAAAATGTTCACCATCATTTTCAACCGACCATCGCATCTTTTGCCCAGAAATTGAAACTTACTTATATTCCCTCGAAATCCCGGATATATATTTAGCAAATGTTTATCATTTTTCGTCTGTTCATTTCATGTCAGTTCATTTGCTATTTTACTTTATAAACTACTGCTGTTGATTCCATTGTGAGCTTAAAATATTCCAACCAAATATGATCAAAATTCCAATTTCACAAAAAAAAAATAGTCAAAATCAATAGCTTAAGTATGTATTCAATAATATATAATTCTTTTAATTCATCGCAAATGACTTCCTTTTTGGCGATTCGTGCGCAGCACGTAGCTCCCACACTGCTACTTCTTTGATTTACAATTCAACAGCCATCTAAAGTATAATAAGCCACAACACATTTTATAAATCACCAACAGAAGATAAACGATGCGTGAGAACAGACTATACAATTTGCTGTCAAATCGTAACGCCAACATATTTTAACTGTACAGTAGTCTGAAAAGTGATCGTTGAATCAACCTGTTAATTCTTTATGAGAACTCACCACATTTCGCCCTTTCTTTAACATATCATTCCGATATCATACAAGCTCATAAACAAACAAACAAAAAACAATATTTTTCAAAATTCAACACGACGATGTTTGTTTTGATTAAAAAAAATATATGTCTCAATCAGTTTGCAAAATTGGTAAACATTTCAAATTTTAATGACGCATATTTGATATGGCTTGGAAGCAATCAACGCTCGATTCATATTTATGTGTAAACAAAAAAATCATCAAATTTGTGAGATAATCGGCAGGCATTATTGTGAAGATTTTGCACATGCAAAGGTCATGAATCATCATGAATATTGTAGACATAAGTAAACTTATTATTTACTTTTCAGTAATCGAACTGATTTATCGAAATCAGCATTTTTAGTATATTTTCTTCTTTTTGATGTTTATATTATGATGATGCATGATTGTTCAGCACTGTGATATTAATTTAGCGATAAAAAAGTTATAAATTTTCTTGAATTTTGGATCATTTTGTCTTCAGTCATCAGTAAAGTCGGTTGATTTTTGAAGGAAAAGTTATTGCAATCAGATGTGCTTCAAAGCCGCTTACATCTGCCGTGGTTGTGACAGTCAATATTAATACGTGAATCTTCCGCCTCGGGTGAGATTCACGCCGTAATATTGGCTACCACATCCATCGCAGATGAAATGGGCTTTGAAGCACATTACAATTCAACTCGAACAATACATTTCATCCAAATATGAAAATAATTGAGTAAAAAAAAGTGTCTCTCTTTTCTAATTTAGAAAAATTGTTTAATCGTTCGTTTTTTTCTTCAACAAAAAGAAACGGCAGCAGGTCCTAGTGGTCACTTTGACTTTCTTCCACTTCCATAAGCTTGTGTATGATTCTACAAGAATGTGTAAGTGGTGAAAATTCGAAGTGACACGAAAAAATCAATTTCGAAAGTAACGTAAATAGACTGAATGATAATCATTTGAATTTAATTTCAAGTTCATGTGTTCGCAAGAAATCTGATTCTCTAGTGAAACTACAACAATTACGTAATTTCTTCTACATGTTTGAATTATGATAAGGCAAAGTGGTGAAAAATCGATTTACCAAAGATTCAATTATAAAATAATATAAAACGTACAATTCGCCTAATTCAGATAATGTTGTTTTAGTATTTGTTGGAATTTTTTTAGTAACTGAATTTTCAGCTAATTAGCTAACTTGTTCATTTTCGGTGAAATCCATCTCTGTGTGGTCATTAAAATTCAAATAAAAAGTGCTGCTTGTTGATGAAAAATGGTTTTTATTTTCGAATGATTCAATATTTTGTTGTTGAAATTCTTGAAAGAAAAAAATTGTTATGAATGTTCCGCCGAATTTCACGCGCTCTTTGACGTAAGCAAGAAACAATTTCCAATTCGTAATGCAATTCGATGAAGCGATCGGAATGTGGTCCACATTATATTTTCTATGACCATATGCAAATTGGCGGAATTTTTTTTTGTTTCAAAACAACATGATTCTTGACTTTGAAGATCAATGCCACAGTTGTTCGGCCTTTTTTTTTTTGTATTTTCTCACATTTTTTTGTTTAATTTTAAAATGTTCTAGTGCATTTTTGTTGCTTGGTAATTTGTACAATGAAAAGCCTTGTGTTCGGATTTGGTTTGCGATAAAAGTTTGTGCATTTCAGAATAAAAAAAGTATGCATTTTCAGTACTCCACATTGACATTGTGGTTAAATGACGGCTGATCGTGTTGAATCGCTTGCTTATGACGCCCAAAGAGCCGCCAATTGTTTATTTCTCTGAGGGACACGTACAGAGTGAGAGGAAGCAACACATAATTAAACGTTTTTATGATGATACATTATAAAAGAAATGAAGTCATCGAGTCAAACGAATTGCATTCATCTAATGGATCATTTGATTATTTATATCATTGTGGTGCTGTTACAATCGCAATTTCTGTCCACATTTGTTTATCGCATGAAAATTGTGTAAATATTGTGCCGGTACAATAAACAACTAAACAGATGACATAAAAAAAACGGTAAATATTACTTCTCAATACAATAGATTTGTGTCATGGTTTTGAGCATTTATTCATTAAAAGCGTTTTTGTGTATATAACACGACGATTTAAAATCGTAGGCCCTCAAGATTGATACGTATACAGAGACATGCAACGGGAAAGTGATATCTTTGAGGCAACTTGATAAGACGTGCACATACACGCTAAATCGAGTGAAATATTTGCTCACATCGAACGAAATTGGATTGAAAGCCATTCAACATTTTCAATTTTTGTTATCAATGCAGACGATCATGCGCGCGTCTCATTTCACTCCGGGCGGCAATTGGTTTAGCAATTTATTTTTGGCTTATAGCGTATTGGTTTATGATTGATTTAGAATTTGTATGTCTTGCAGCACACTTTCAATGGTTTTTGGGATAATTGAATTTGAATCGTGCACATTTTAATTCACACTTATAGTTGAAATGTTCGTAGGCGGCATACCTTTACTCTCTCCCTCTCTCTCTCCCTCTCTCTCTTTCTCTTTTCGTGTGTTAATGAATTTTACTATTCAATTCTGCTAACTTGCAATTCAAAATGCATACACACACAATTTTGTTCTTTTCATTCAATTTCAAAGCACCGTCGTGATTGTTTACATTGCAAATCTATAATCGTGTATCCATACACAGTAGATTCGGATCGTGCACTAAAATGTTAGTAGGTGACATAAATAATATTTTAATGGTTTACAATTTATACATGCCCATTTATAAATTGTCATTTTCGAGATGAAAAATGAGCTGGAGCTAAAAAAAACACCGAATGATAATAGCGTTTGTTTATTGTGCGTGAATATAAAGCATAATTTTTCATGTCCAATACGGTTCCTTTGGGGACACACTGATTGATGCTAAATGGCAGGCAATTAAAACGTTTGTTTGGTTTAAACAGATAAATTGAATTTTGTCTGTGTGTTTGGCAATAAATCAAAGGAAAAAATTTGCACTTCAAATGTGCATTCCATCGGAATCGGAATAAACTTTTGTTCTTTTTATTTGCAGCACAAATAAAACCGTTTCAAACACACACACACACACACACACACCGATTGCGGTGCACTGATTGGAATAAAAGGAACAAACACACACACATATGCCAGACGGCAGTTTTTTGTTCTCAAAACAAAAATGTTCTCATAAGCAAAATCAAAAATAGAATTTATTAGAAATAAATTTAAATTAATTTTAATAGTATGAGCATTGACGGTGACGGCCAAGCTCTTTGTTCAAACCGATTCCGCTCGATTTGAACAAACTTGTAATAGCAATTGAGTACCTCATTTGCACGGAATGAAAAACAACAACTTGGTTAAATCTTTTTTTTACTTGATTATTTAATCATCTGCTCGTAAATTGTCGAGATCGAGTCAATAAATTGATTGGCCATGTGCATCGGTTTGAAAACAAAACGAAGAAACAATGCGAAGAAATATATCAAAATTGCAAGTTATAACACACCGTATGCAAATGCAAAGAGAAACGGATACAATTCAATTTGGTTTGGTTGATATGACAGTGGTTCGTTTAGACAGAGAAACTATGCCATTGAGCATAGCAAAAAAACAAAAAGCTCACATTGACACGCATATTGACACTCACTGTGCAGAAAACAAGAGCACTTTGAATTTACATTGGAAACCGAGCACTTTGATTCATTCACGAGTTTATTGCGACAGCTCCATTGTGAGCGAGCGTACACTGCATTATAATATTGTTGCAATTATAAATGAATTTATA